AACTTGCTTGTTTTTTTTTTTTTTTTTTTTTAGCTCTGTTTGTTTGAATACTTTCCCATACTTTTACCCAAAAGTGGTATTGGTCATTGATGGTGAGGTGTGTTGCTTAGCAGCACATGGATGGATCCTATTTTCTAATCTAATCAGTTAGCTTGTGTCTTTTTGTGGAGTTGAGAATGTTAATATTGACAGTTTTTATTGAATAATATTTATTAATTCCTGTTATGGTGCTGCTGTTGTGTTGTATTCTTAGAGTCTTTTGGTTTCCTGTTCTGCAATACTTTATTTATTCTTTGTGTACTCTTGAGAGTGTTTAATCTTCTCTTCAGACTGAAGTATTCCATCAAGTAGTCTCTGCAGAGCTGACTTTGTGGGCATAAATCCTGTAAGTCTTTTTTTGCCATAGAAAGTTTTTCTTTCTTGTTTGATTATACTGAGGATTTTGCTGGGTATACTAGTCTGTGCAGGCATCTGGATTCTTCCATCATTTGTAGGACATCAGTCCAAGCTCTTCAGGCTTTCATAGTCTCTATTGAAAAGTCAGCTGTTATTCTTGTGGGCCTGCCTTTATATGTGACTTGATCCTTCTCTCTTACAGCTTTTGATACAATTTTTTGTTTTGTACATTTACTGTTTTGACTATTGTATGACATGAGAAATTTCTTTCTGGTACTTTCTAATTAGTGTTCTTTATGCCTCTTGTATCCTGAGAGGTATCTCTTTCCTTAGATTTGGGAAGTTTTCTTCTATGTGTTTGTTGAAAACACTTTTGTGTGCTTTTGGCCTGGGTTTATTTTCCTTCTTCTGTATCTGTAACTCATACATAGGTTTTATTACAGTGTCCCAGAGGAATTTCATATTCCCCTGGGTTATTCTAGATCTGATATTTTCTTTGATTGAGCGATCCATTTCCCCAGCTTTGTCTTCAAGATCTGATACTCTTTGTTCCATTTCCGCTGCTTCCTTTTTGACCCTTTTCCTCTGAACTTTTTGTTGTGTTCCTAACTGTTTAATTTCAAGTTTTATTTCAGTTTGGCTTTTCTTCAGAGATGTGATCTCATTATGGAATTCTAATTTTATGTTCTTAATTGCTTTAGTTATTTAACTGAGCTGTTTATGTTTCATGTCTTCATTCAGTCTTTATTCATATCTTCTTTGAGTCTCTTGAACATGTTTATAATTGCTATTTGAAATCATTATCTTGTATATTAGCTAGGTTTTCATTCTCAGGAAAAATTATAACGGTGGAGGAGACATCTTTTTTTTTTTTCATTTTTTAATGAGGACTAGGCATCTGGACCTTGTCAGTGGTGTTGTTTCTTGGTATGGGTACAGAAAGATATCTTTTTTGAATGAGTGCTTATATCGTTGCTCTTTTCCCAATTTGTCAAACTATCACCCAACTAAGTGTTGCTTGGCATTCATTTTAGGGGCCACATTATATTGATCTGTAAATGGAATGAAAGTTCATCTGGTGATAGGAGCAACTTCAAAGTGTGAGGTTCCAGGAAAAGCTCTGTGCAGTCCTGGAGAGTTAGAGTGGGTTGGTTGGCTGCTAGCTTGGCTGGGGAAGCTCAAATGTCTGGGGCTGCGAGTATCATAATAACCCTACAGACCTTAGAGCTGGCATAGCAGAAAATGTGCAAGTCTAGGGAAAAGGAACTCACCAGAGGTGGCCTGAGGTAGCTTGCATGTCTCTTTCATCATTTCTCAGTAGGAACAATAAGTGTTATATTTCTAAAGTTATTGATAAAACTACATAAAACTTAACATATTATAGAATTTTAATTCTGAAGCCCAATAAATTTTAACTCATTTTGAAATGCCTTATTTTGAGTGATTTCTTTTGTTAAAATTTCCTTTGTTGTCAGTCTTATATACATATTCAATACATTGTGGTCTTCAAGTGTTTTATCATCTTCTAAATTTGAAACAGACCATTTATTCGTTAATAATCCCCCATACTCTCTCTCTCCATAGTCTCTGTAAACCATTATTCTAGTTGCTGTTTTTACAAATCTGATTGATAGCAGTCTCCCACGGAAGTTCTTATTTTATGATATGCTTACTTTAATTAGTATAATGTCTACATTTCATCCATATTGCAGCATGTATATAAATTTTCACAAGTTTGATTGCCTTTTGAGACATTGACTCATATAGACAAGGCTGACTAGGAAATAAGTATGTAGCCCAAGCTAGCCTTAATGTACTTAATACTTAATAATACTTCTTCCTCTTGACTGTGACTATAAGAGTGAGCTACCATACCTGGCCTTTTAAAATCTATATAAGACTCCATTGTGTTAATACATCAAATTTTAATCACAATTAATCACATTTAATCAATGGACAATTGTGCTGCCTTAATCTTTTGACTACCTTTTTGGGTGAAGGGAGATGTGCAGTGAACATTATTGACCTATTCAAGAGAGTAGGGTTCCCTAAGCTCCTTCCCTTCTTCTGGGTGTCTAGGATGGAAACTGTAAAGGGAGATACTCAGTGAGCTGGATGCTGAGTTAGAGCAGGGACCCCATAGCTGAGGGCCTCTCTCTTCCTCTTCCTGGGGTGAGTTGTTCAGGGCTTCTTACTCCTTGGAGGCCATGTGGACCATGAGGCCCACCACCTTGTAGCTGTAGCTAAATTTGTTGTCATATCAGGAAATAAGCTTGACCCAGCTGCAAAGGTAGAAGAATGGATGTCACTGTTAAAGTTGTAAAAGGTGACCTGGTCCTCAATATAGCCCAGGATGCCCTTTTAGGGGCCCTCTGCTGCCTGCCTGCTTCACCACCTTCTTGATATCATCGTATTTAGATGATTTCTTCAGGCAGCAGGTCAGATTTACGACAGATACATTTGGTGTAGGAACACAGAAGGCCATGCCAATGAGCTTCCCATTGAGCTCTGGGATGGTCTTGCCCACAGCCTTGGTATCACCAGTGAATGAAGGGATGATGCTCTGGGCAGCTCTATGACCATCATACCAGTTTCCCTGAGGGGCTATCCACAATCTTCTGGATAGCTGTGATGGCATGAATTGTGGCCATGAGTCTGTCAACAATGCCAAAGTTGTCATGGATGACCTTGGCCAGGGGCACTAAGCAGTTGGTGGTGTAGGAGGCACTGCTGATGATCTTGAGGGAGTTGTTATACTTCTCATGGTTCACACCCATCACAAACATGGTGTTATCGGCAGAAGTGGCAGAGATGACAACCCTTTTTGCTTCACCTTTTAAGTGGGCCCTGGCCTTCTCCACGGTGGTGAGACTCCACAACATACTCAGCACCAGCATCACACCATTTGATGTTGGCAGGATCTCACTCCTGGAAGATAGAGATTGCCTTCCCATTGATGAAAAGTTTCCCATTCTCAGGCTTGACATATTAGAACATGCAGACCATGTAGTTGAGGTAATGAAGGTTTCATTGATGGCAACAGTCTCTACTTTGCTAGAGGTGAAGGCAGACTTGGTGACCAGGCACCCAATATGGCTAAATCTATTCACTCTGACCTTCACTGTCGGGTCTCAGAGATGATGCTGGCACTGCACAGGAAGATGTAGGTGTCTCTGGAATGGGAGGAGCAGAGAGCCTCTTTTGGCTATTTTAAATAATGCTGTTATGCACATGGGTATAGAAACAATTTCTCAAAGACTCTGCTTTCAGTTTATAAGATATTTACAAATTAATAACCACACTGACACAGACACATAAACACACACATACTGACATATATATGTCTGTCAATAGGTAGGTAGATAGGTAGCTAGGTAGGTAGACAGACAGACAGACGGAGAGCTAGATGCATATGCTGGAGGTATGAATTATCAAGGAACTCGTTGATTCATAGATAATCCTGTTATATTTTTGAGGAGAAATCATCTGTTTTCCATACTTATCACCCAATTTTGCATTCCAAACAGTCCATGTAGCTTCTAATAACCACACATCTTCACAAATAACTGTTACTCTGGTTGGTTGGTACTGGACAGTTTCTTTGGCTGGAGATAATATCTCACTTTAAATTTATTTGTATAATAGTAGTTCTGGGCAACTTTCCATGTATTTGCTGATTATTCTTAAGTCTTCTTTGAAGAAATGCATTTTTGAGCCTTTTCTATATTTTAAATTGGGCTGTTCATTTATATGTTGACGAGCTGAAATAGTTTAGTACAGTCTGGGTAATCACCTGCTGTTAGTATGATTGACAAATACTTCCACACAAAAGACTGTCATCTTGCTGTGTGGATAACATTTAATCATGCATAGAATATTTTTTATAAAGGCAATTTACATTGCCCACTTTCATTTTAGTTACTGTGGTATCATATCACAAATGTCACTGAAAATTTCAATATTCCAGTGTTTTTCCTCTTATGTCTTTTCTAGATGTTCTATGGTTTTCATTCTTATGCTTGGGTTCTTTACCTATTAGTCCATGGGCAACTGGATATTTTCTATATGGTGAAAAATACCCTTCTTTGATCAAATCCCAATTCATGTCAGCACTTAGAATAATAGCACAGTTATCTTAAAAATGAAAAAGGAGGGTAAATAAGGATAAAGATCATAGAAAAGCCATAGGTATCCAGAAGAGGAAAATAGCCCACCCTGTGGATATGAGGGTTGGAAAGGTCATAAATTTGCACATTAAACATGAATGAAACTTTACTATCAAGACTCCATAGAGTGACCGCACACATAACCCATATTTCTGATTGAGGCTTCTATTCTTCAGGGTACAACTGAGACCCAGATGTTAAAAATGATACATAAGGATAGTGTTGGCCAAATTAACAAGACGTTAGTTTGGTTCATTAAGGAAGACTTTATTGCAAATTAGAGAAGACAATATGCCATTCGGGGCAAATTCAGAACTTTACACAGGATTGCAGGATGTCAGACCCCAGGATATGCAGGAGGAGGAAAGAAGAGCGGCCCGCAGGGGCAGGTCTTCTGCTCATGGCTTCCATCTACACTGCTTGGACTCGTGGTCCAAGTCAGCAGCAACCCCCAGACTGCTGGCCACCACCACAGCTGCTGCCACTGCTGCCACAGCATCCACCGCTGCCTCCACTGCTGCCACAGCATCCACTGCTGCCCCCACTGCCACAGCATCCACTGCTGCCCCCACTGCTACAGCATCCACCGCTGCCTCCACTGCTGCAGCATCCAGAGCTCTGGTGTCTGTGACGTCGGAGAGATCTGCGGGGCCTGTGGTGGCTCAGGCAGCAGCCGCCACCCCCAGAGCTGCAGCAGCCCCCAGAGCGGCAGCCACAGCAGCCCCCAGAACCAAGGCTACAGCAGGAAGGGGCAGGAGGGCACTTAGGGGGGCACTTTGGGGGGCACTTTGGGGTCTGACATTTGGGAGGGCACTTGGGGGTGCACTTGGGAGGGGGCTGGCACTGCTGCTGGCTCTGCTGGCAGGACATCTTGGGTGGTAAGTGCTCAAGAGCTGAGAGAGAATCACACACAAGTCAGACTCAGGGCCCTGTGGCCACGGTGCCCACTCTTGTTCTCTGAGCAGAACTGATAGTCAAACATAAACCATCCTCTCATCCTCTCACACCATCATGTCTGGGCACCTCAGAAACCCATGTAAGTCAGATATCAACTTTATTCTGGTTGCCAACAGCAGTAAATAAAGAGCTAATGGTATTACGAAGGGTGCCTGAATCTGAGACTTATACATAGAAATCACCCAAATTAAAGCATCATTTCTGGGAAAGTGTATTTTTTTGAGTAAAGAGCAATCCTTGCTTGTAACTTGCATGATATTTTTATACCACAGGACAATGTGCAAAGGCCCCAGGGGCTCCTGTGTCAGTAAGCAAAACCCTTAAGAGAATCCTGAAAGCCCCGGTAATTTCTTGAATACCTGGCCCATGAAACTAGTCCTGCTCTCAGAGCATGTCTGGGAAAGTGTATTTTTTTGAGTAAAGAGCAATCCTTGCTTGTAACTTGCATGATATTTTTATACCACAGGACAATGTGCAAAGGCCCCAGGGGCTCCTGGTTCAGTAAGCAAAACCCTTAAGAAAATCCTGAAAGCCCTGGTAATTTCTTGAATACCTGGCCCATGAAACTAGTCCTGCTCTCAGAGATGCATGCATATGTGCTAAATCCATCCCCTTCTCAGACTGACAGGATAGCATGGCCAGAAGCAGGCTGGTGGCATCCCAGTCATTCTAGGAATCGTATGAACAATCCCAGACCTAGGACTGGATTTCTCAAGTGAAAGGATAGCCATGTGCCCCAGTCTGGGTCTATCTCTTACTTTATTTAAATGCTGGGTAAGAGCTGTGTTTCAGAGTTTCCCGATCCTCTGAACTTTGTCTAAGGTGCACATATTTCTGTGCTTCAAGGTCCTTCCCACTCCACTAGGGAGTATTGTTCACTGCAGAGCCCTAAGTCATATGGACCCAGTCTTCTCATGCCTCCTATGGTGACAGCACACCCTCTGTCTCTACTCATCAATCTCTGTTAACAAAAGCCCTCTGTCAGAATGGCTTCCAGACTCTTGGCCCCTCTCAGCCTCCCCTCCAGCCCTATGATAAGCATCACTCTGGTGCAGGCTGAAATGAATTTTTGAAATCTGTTTGGTCTTCATAGTTTCCCTTTTTAAGTGTAATATTTAAATATTAATGAGAATTAGTTGATTGTTATGAAACTCACCAAGGTATTAGAAAAATAGTATACCAAGGCTGATGAGTAATTGGGTCATGGTAAATTCTTAACTAATGTCACATTTGGTCTACTGAATAAAGAAGGAGGAAAGTGTTCTTTAAAAAAATGATTGAAGACCAGGGGCATGGCTCAACGGGCAGAGTACTTGTGGGCAAGTAAGTTCATATGAACAAGTTTCGGGAGGCCTGAAGCCTCTGTTTCCTTGTGTTCATGCACCGACGCTGGCTCTTACAATCTTTCTGTCCCCTCTTCCACAATGGCCCCTAAGCTGTGGGTGGGTGAGGTTTAATATAGGCTATTTGGTTTTTTAAATTCTGTTCTAGTATCAGATCCAAGAAAACTCTCCTATTCCCAAAAGTTGTTCATGTTAATACATTTCCATTGTCTTGTTCCAAACTGCATACAGTTTAAGAGCAAAATGCAAAATAGTATCAGGTGTGACCGTTTGCTAGATTAAGCATTCTTCACCTGCCCTATGGAATGCTCTCAGCTCAACAACATTATTTTTGTACTTGATGATAGTTGTCCCTGTATCACATGACATACCTTTGTCCGTCTGTTCACTTGGGTCCCTCTAATTTCCTTTCACGTACTAGGTTACATCCATGAAAGTGTAATAAATCCCTTGAGAACCTGTCCTGGGTTTTGTATTTTATATCCAATAATTCAACATGACTGTGTGCACACTGGATATTTTATGACTTTAAAATCCTCTCAGTAGCATCATCAGTGACATCTCAGATGATAAACAGCTACCCCTTATGATTTCGTACTAGGTTACATCCATGAAAGTGTAATAAATCCCTTGAGAACCTGTCCTGGGTTTTGTATTTTATATCCAATAATTCAACATGACTGTGTGCACACTGGATATTTTATGACTTTAAAATCCTCTCAGTAGCATCATCAGTGACATCTCAGATGATAAACAGCTACCCCTTATGATTTGGGTTCCCTCACAGGAAGCAGCGCTCTGAGACAGGCAGAGTGAGGCAGATGTGGCACAGCACTTGGACAGCACCTCTCTCACCTGTGCTGGCATTTGTTCACCTGCTCAGGTTGTTCAAGGGCTTAGTAATGGGGAGAGGTCAGGAATTGATTCCTACTGTCCACAGTGGCAGGTCTGCTCAGCTCAGATCCTGAGTACTGGGATGACGGGAGGGAGAAGCCATGTGCTGCACACCTCTGGCTCTGTGCAGGGCAACACCCAAGTCCTCAGCTGACCTGCCTGAACACAGGAATGTGTGAGTGGCCTGAAGAATCTTGGAATTTAAGCCATGATGGTTCTGTGGGCTTAAGGGTCAAGTCAATGAAGCCATCTTGTCTAGGAAACTGTTAGCTTCTAGGTGTTCCATTTCTCAAGGTCTCTCTTTCTCCATCCCATGGAGTACAAGGAGCAGCACCAGTTCTAACCAGAAGAAATTCAGTCTAAAAATGATTTTCCTATGAGATCAAAACCATTGCCAATAAATTAGTTTTCTTTTGTTTCCCCTTATTACTCTTTTAAACAGTCATAAAACAATAATCTTGGAGTACTAGAGAAAATTCCATTCATGTCTTGTCAGAGTATTTAAAATTATATTGTTGATTGCTTCTAATGCTATAATTTTAATTTTAAATTTATTTTGGCATATGTACTAAAAGTGTGCTGAATTCTCATTATTTCTTTCATGAAGTTTCCTTATTGAATTTTTGGGAATTTCATACAATATATATTGATCATATTTAGACTTCTCCCCTGTCTTTAGCTCTTTATCTCCTGCCCAATTTCATGCTTTCATGTATATGTGTGTGTGTGTGTGTGTGTGTGTGTGTGTGTGTGTGTGTATGCATGTAAGTATTCTCAATCCTTGCATTTCATCTTTTGAGAACTCTCTGCTCAGTTCTTTGCCCCAGTTTTTAATTGAGCAGTCTTTTTTTTGATGTTTAGTGTTTTTAGTTCTTTATATATTCTAGATACTAATCCTCTGTTAGAGGTACAGTTGGTGAAGACATTTTTCCCATTCTAAATGTTGCCTCTTCACTCAAATCATGGTGTCTTTGGCTGTATAGAAGTTTTTTAGTTTCATGAGATCCCATTTGTCTTTTGTGGGACTTAATGTCTATACTTTCTATACTGCAAGAGTCCTATTCACAATGTCCATTCTTGTGTCTGTAAGTTCTAGTGTTCCCTACTTTCTCCTCTATCAAATTCAGGGCATCAGGTCTTATGTTAGGGTCCTTGATCCATTTGAAGTTGAGTTTTACGCATGGTGAGAAATAGGGATCTATTTTCACTTTTCTACATGTTTGACCAGAAGCATTTGTTGAAGAAGCTGTCTTTTCTCCAGTGTGTATTTTTGGTTCTGCTGTCAAAAATCAGGTAACTGTAAATGTATGAACTAAATTCTGGATCCTCAGTTCTACTCCATTGATCAATGTGCCTGTTTTCATGCCAGTATCATGCTGTTTTTATTACTATAGCTCTGTAGTATAATTTGTGATTAGGGATGGTGTGGTAATGCCTCCGTTTCTTTATTGTTCAAGTTTGGCTATCCTAAGATTTTTGTGTTTCCATATGAAATCTGAGATTTTTTTCAATTTCTGTTACAAATTGTGTTGGAATTTTAATGGATTTATATATATTTAATAGATTGCTTTTGGTAGGATGGCCATTTTCACAAAAGGATTAATATTAATCTGTAGGATTAATACAGATCCATCACCATGGGAGGTCTTTCAATTCTCTGGTATCATCTTCAATTTCTTTCTTCAGTGTCTTGAAGCTTTTATGATACAAATCCTTCACTTCTTGGTTGCATTTATTCTAAGATATATTGTTTTCTGAGACTGTCAAGAATGGGATTGATTCCCTGATTTCTTTTCTTAGTACATTTGTTGTTTTTATATAGGAAGTCTACTGGGTTTTGTTTGTTAACTTTTCATCCTGCTACATTGCTGAATGTGTTTATGAGCTCTACAAGTTTTCTAATGGAGTTTTTAGGATCTTTTATTTATAAAATAACACCATCTGCAAATGAGAATATTTTGACTTTTCCCTTTCCAATTTGTATTCCCTTTTCTTCATCCTTTGTGTTATTGCTGTACCTAAGACTTCACATACTGTGTTAAACAGGAATGAAAGGAGTGAACATCCGTGTCTTGTTCCTGATTTTAATGGGAATGCTTTAAGTTTTTCCCCATTTAATATCATGTTATTGGACTTGCTGTGCATTGTCTTTATTGTGTTGAGATATGTTCCCTGTATCCCTAGATTCTCTATGACTTTATCATGAATGAATGTTGGATTTTGTCAAAGGGATTTTCTGCATCTAATGAGACGATCTTGTGGTTTCTGTCCTAGAGCCTGTTTTTGTGGTGGATTACATTTATTGATTTTTGTATATCAAACCATCCCTGTATTTCTGGGATAAAAAACTAACTTTATCATGGTGTATAACCTTTTTGATATGTTCTTGCATTTGGATTGTATTTCTTTTAATCTATAT